CCGAGCCCCGCTCCGCCCCTCGGTCCGGACGAGCCCCCGGCGAGCGCGGAGCTGTCCATGGTGGCTCCGCTCCCGCCCCGCTGCCTTCGCCCCCGCCTCACCTGGAGCGCAGGCGGACCCTGAACGCGGGATGATGCTCCGGGCGTCTCTGGCTGAWGCTCCGGGCGGCCGAGTCCCCCCGGCGGCCGCCGCCACTGCCGGGACTGCCGAGCCGGRGAGGAGCAGGGGGTGTCGGGGCAGCCGCGCCGTGGGTCCAGAGCGTGCAGGTTGAACCGGGGGCTCCCCGAGCTCCTCGGAGGAGCGGGGGCCGTGGGGAGCCCGCCGGGATGCAGAGTCCTGTCCAGGAGGATCCGGGAGCAGCCCCGYCGGCCGTGCAGCTCCGGGAGGCCGCCGCCACCCGCGCCCACCAACTTGTGCCCGCAGATGTCCACGGCCGCCCCCTCGCCCGGACAGCGACACGCAGCCCCGAGCCGCAGGGACAGCCCGTGTGCAGCTCCCCGCCGTCGGGGATGAGGATGGAGCGGCTCCGCAGGGCGATGGRCGGCCCGTGGGGGCGGTCGGCGAGCAGAGGCGAACACCGGCTGGCGAGAGGAGAGGAGCGGAGCGGGGCCGGGACACCCCCGCAGCACCGGGCAGCCGGGATCCTACGCCGCGAACGACCAGGGAGGGAAAGCGGCGGAGCTCTGGAGGTGCAGGGCAGCCCCACGGCGGTGTCGGAGCCCGGTGACCACGGGGCGAGGTGCGGGACGGCCTCCGGGCAGCGCCTGCAAGGGACGGGCGGCGGCAGCGGCGGGGGCGAAGGGGAGAAGGGRAGAAGGGGCGCGGGGGGCGCGGTACCGACCTGATGCTGCGGCCGCTCGCTGCTCCACCACGCGTCCCGCGGCAGCACCGGCACCGTGTCCGGCTCCGGGACTATGGCCGGCTCCGGGACCGTGACCGGCTCCCAAGGACAGGAGGAGCCGCAGCTCCCCGGGGCTCCCCGCGGTCCCGCAGCCGCTCCCGGGGCCGCCCCCGCCGCAACACGTGCGCCGCGACTTTGCACGGAGCCGCCAAAAGGCACATTTTGCWTCTGACGAGTTTTGATTTCGTTGGGTTTGGGTTTTTTTTTCCCTTTTCCCCCTTCACTTAACGTCGGAACGGCGAAAGCAGACCCCCTGTCCCGGCTCACAAGCCCGGCTTGGCTCACACCGCCGCAGCGCACGGACAGAGGGAGCCGGCGCCGAGCAAACCCAGCGGCTGCTCGACGAGAGGCACCACCGGCCGCTTCCAAACTTGGCCGCGGACACTTACCTGTCCCGACAGCGCCGACCGTGGACTCTGCCCGCAGCCTCTSGGAGCTGCCGGGCACCCGGCGGGGCAGGCAGGGGYAGGGCAGGGGAAGGCAGGCACAGGCAGCTCCCGCTCCGCCGCTCCGGCTGCCTCCCCTCCGCCTCCCTTTTTATATCCATCTCCCAACCGCTGGCGGTGCCCGCACTGTTTACAGCGGCTGAGCCGCTGGCTCCTCCCAGCCGGGGACGATCCCTCCAGCCTGGACGTATATCTACGAGCGGCTCCCCGGTGCCCGCACGGAGAGGCTGACCCGGCTCCGAGCGTCCGGGGGCAGCGGGCTCCTTGCCGGGATCCTTGCCGGGCTCCTTGCCGGGATCCTTGCCGGGCTCCTTGCCGGGATCCTTGCCGGGCTCTCCGGGGGCTGTGCAGACCCAAAGAGCACCCGGCGGGGCTGTGCAAAGCATGAGGCGGGGTTCCAGCTGCCTCTCCAAGGGCAGGGGGATGAGGCACCCCTGATTCCAGCTCCCCATGTGCTGTCCTGCACATTTATAGACGGCACTGGAACCCAGCAGCTGYAAAATCTCCCCTGCCAGAGAGTGAGCAGAGGGTATTTGCCACCTCACCCCCATCATCTGCCAAATCAGCCTCTAGACATAGTCTGCAGMGAGAGGAAAAGGGTTAGAAACTGCTCTGGCAAAACACAGACACAAAAAGCCTGGAAGTGCCTTTAGTACAATTCCCCCCCACCCTGGGCTGGGAGTGCCTTCCTGGCTTTGGAGGTTCCAATCTCAGTGG